GTGGGGGGGGGATCAGGGGGACCCGATCACAGAATTCACAAGATAGGCATTCACAAGATGCGATTCACAAGATAGGCATTTCCCCATGTGCACACTTGTGAGGCACTCAAATCTTCACCACGCCTAACCCCAAACAAAACAGATGGAGGAAGAAATGACCAAAGATGGTAAAGGGCTTGGAAGCAAGCCGTAGCAGAGAGCCTTTTATTCATTAGCCTAAGGGTTAGAGCACTTGCCCAGGGCCTGTCAGACCCAAGTTCCATTAACTCTTCAGTCTTAGGTATTTTGAATTCACTTCCTCCTCATGGCTTAACAGCATGCCCTCCACAGCTGGGTTACCAGGTATTTTGAAGCAAAACTCTCACTCTTCCCTGTGGAAGTCATTCCACTTTGTATAAAAACCTTAAGGACTCGCTGGGGCAGAGAGACATAGGCAGGGGCTGATCCAGAGGGATTGTCGGGGGGCAGTTGCACGTTGCACTCCTCTTCCTGCTCTGCCTGCTGCAACTATGGAGCGTTCTGCGTATCTTGGTGCGGGGGCTGCAGCCACCCTTGCAGTACTAGTCACTGCTCCTGCATTCCCATTTTAAAAAAAATCCTTAAAGCTCCTAGGCCTTCATGAGATGGATATGGATTCCAGTCCTCTTCAAAGGGACTGCATGTTGCATTATTTAAGTCTCCATTATGAATGTAGCCCTATATAACCACAAACAATACTCTTAATGACCCATTCAGTGATCTCCAAGCAGCTAACAAAGGTCCACTTTCACACGGAGGAATAGAAGCGCACACAGAGAAAATGGTTTCTGAGTTTAAATAGTAGAATAATGGAAAAGCTGGTAACAGCTCCACAGCCCAATTCCCACTCCAGTACTCTCTCCACTGGGACATGTTACCTCATAAAGGATAGAAATACCATTGAAGTGGTGTGGCTCAAAGCTTGTAGGAATGGAAGACATGCTAAGAAATACAGGACAACTGCAGTAAAGAATTCCATCCAAATAGTACCATCAAAACTCAGTCCTTACTTACCAGAATCAAGTGGATTCATTGTGATCTCTATGGTCTCAGGCTTTGCGGAGCAGAGGTCTGCAACATATTTCATTTGGCAAGTTCATATCCATGTTTATCCATCTCATCCTGCGGCTGCAAGCTCCCCTCTTGTATAGTTCATCAGAATTGCAGAAGTAAAAAGTTTGTGAGAGCCGCCTGCAAAGTCATTTGAGAACAGGAAATTCATTGTGACAGCATTACCGAGAAAATTCAATGCATAGGAAAGAAAAAAACTTAACCTCAGGGGAAGCCCTGTCAAATTATTAGAACAGCACTTCATGGTTCCTAACAACTTTGTTTCTAAAACAGAGTGAGGAAGCACAGGTGTCTTTTGGAGGCCAAGTAGGGCTCAACTGCCTGTTTCTGGCTGAATGAGAATCAGCCATAGCTTGAAAAGTTCTTTTCCATGTATAGCATGTTTAACCAACTGTTTTTACTTTACAAATCCAAGCAAATTAGAGGCAAAAAAATAGGTTGCTCCATGTAAAGGCTCAGATTTCCAAAGGCAACTGGGTTAGTTCTCTAGGGCAGTCTCCTTTACAACTTTAGCCAGCCACTTCAGGTATACTGCTGTGTAAAGGGATCTTCAGGGAATAGTGAGCCACTACAACAACTCTTATACCACTCCCGCCCAATGACCCACTAAAGGAAGTATGGCTGGAGGAAAGAGGACTTGGCCTGAGATGTTGTTATGCCTTGCAATACACACCCATTAGAACATAGCTGGGGGCCCATTACCAGCTGGTGCAACCTAGAGCAGCCTGAAGACCACTCTGCATTACTCCTATGAACTGGTTTAGTAGACAGGGCCCCAGGATCAGAGGAGCAGAGGGACATGTGCCTAGACACCTCCCCTGATGCAACCAGGATCTGAACTAATAAATCCAAAGTAGTGGTTTCTATCTAGCCGTTTTAACCAGGTAGTAATGCTCACACAGGATAATATTAGAGTCTCTCCAGAACAGGCTTCAGGGCAGTGAACTCAAGTTGTCCAAGAGCTCACTATGACTATAGGTCACTATGAACTAATTCCACGAAGGATCTGCCTACTAGAATCAACAGTCTCAAATTAGGCATCCAGACTATGTTGTGCATGAGAAGAGTTGGGAACCAATGAATAGGATCTAGCGGCTAACATCCTGAGCAAGGGGTCACCTAAACTGCCCAACAGGAACTGCTGATGACAGAGGCAGGGCCTCTCAGAGTTGTTAGACAGCTAGTGCTGAGGTAGAGGGAGGCACTTATATGTACTCAAATGTACTGCTGGACTTAGATTTGTAAATCAGCTCAGCCCTTTCTCAGGAAAACACAAGGAAGTCTTCTTTCCCCCTGTAACAGGCTGTAGGCTGGCCGCTCGGATCAATTAGCCAGATGGCAAAAAGCTACTCAGGAAGGGACCTCTGTTGGCAGGCATTTAGCAATAATGACGGGAAAAGACTAGTTGACCAGAAATAAAAGAACAGGGCAAGGAAGTAAGTGGACAAGAGATAAATGGTTGGCTGTTGAGGGAGGAGTCTTTGAAGAAATAGTATAGGGTGAGACCTAACTGATACTGGGAGTGTTTCCGTTGGATTATTTGATATTTGTAACTGAACCCTATGGTGCAGGCTATCCCTGGGGTTTTGAAGCCAGTGTTGCTGGGACCAGTTTAATGGCACATTCATTTGGATTGGTTTGCTTTTGGCTGAGCTCTGGGAAGCAGAGAAACCCAGGGCATTACAGCCCGTGGCTTTGAGCCCAGAAAAAAGACTGTAACTGGGACCAGATTGAAAGGCTCAAGGACTGATTTAAGCCAGGTAGGGCTGGGCTAGCCACTAGCCAGCCACCTGCTACAACCTCATTATACCAGTAATTAAGGCACCAGTCTGAGATAAAGTACCACAGTAGTACCCAAACACTCTGGGAGAAGGCAGAGTGTGCTTGCAGATGTAAAAAAAAAATAAACTAAAAAAGTTGCTTTACACGCAACGTGGTGTGTTTCTATGCTGAGCCCTGTGTATGCTCAGAAGAGGCAGCACGCTACTTCAGCCTGGCTCACCCAACATCTGTAAAGATCTGTAAAGATTGGGCACTTCAGGGGAGCCTTTTGGTGATTTTATCTAAGAGCTGACTGAACTGGCTAAAAGTGCCAAAAAGCCCTGCTGATGCGCCCGCTCTTTTACAGATGCAGCAGAGTACTTGGGTTGAAGTAATGCACTGCTTCTTCAGTATACTACAGTGCAGTTGGGGGGGGGGGCTGTTGGTTGTTTGGTGTTTTGTTTTGTTTTTTTAAAGGTCTGCAAGCAGCCATAAAAAATAAGGAACTTGCAACCAGACAGCCTCTGTTACTCCTGCCCTTAAAAGGATTTTATGAAACTGAAAGCTCATCACTCCCCCTACACTGGGCACTAGGGCTGTGCAAAATGGCCCTATTCAATTTGGATTTGGCCCAAATCGGGGACAGTGGTTTGATTCGTTGATTCGGATCACCGTCCCCGATTCAATTTGGCCGAATCCAAGTCTGAAGATTCGATGTTGATTCAGCAAATCAGTGATTCGGACACAGGCACAGCTTTAAAAGTTTTTTTCTACACACCTGGAGGTAGCAGCATGGCTCATGATCACTGCAGTGCTGGGGCAGATGAAGCGTCCCACAGGAGCACGGGGGGGCTCTACGTGCTTGGTGGCAAACCCTGAAGTGAACTGGAAGTACTTCTGGTCCACTTCTGGGTCTGCCAGCGAGTGTGCTGGGGAGCCCTCCCCCCTGCACCTCCCTTAGCTCGGTGATTGGCTACGGGGGGACCTGGGGTGCCCCCCAGACCCAGGAGGCACCAGGTGCCGAGCCAGGGAGGTGGGGGGGGGGGCAGTCCTCCCCAGTGGACCTGGACATAGTCTGGAAGTGCTTCTGGTCCACTTCCAGGTCTGCTGCCAAGTGCACTGGGGAGCCCTGTGGGATGCTGCATGTGCCCCAGCACCGCAGTGTTCAGAGTCCCTGCTACCTACACATCCGTAGAAAAAACATTTAAAGCTGTATCTACATCCGAACCGCCAAATCTGTCCAAATCGATTCGGAGAGATTAAAGGGTCCTCTGATTCGATTCGGATTCAAAGATTCGGTCACCGAATTGGGCCAAATCTCCGCCGAATCCAATCGGGGGCCGAAGCTTCGCACAGCCCTACTGGGCACATGCATGTGCTCTGATAGTCTGCAACCTTGGGCTACAGCAGCAGTAGAAGGCAAGGCAGGCAGCTCGGGGACAGAGGCAGACCCATCCTATGTTCATGCTAAAAGCAAGAAAGATGGCAGAAAGAGAAAGATGAGCCCCATGCGAGCTGGGTGCTCTCCCTGTATTGTCACTGACTAACATCTGTCCCTTCCCCACGTGTCGCTGCCCGAACTCTGGATCTTCCAGCCTCTGTGCCTCAGTGCTACCCCTGCACATGACCTGCCTGTGTGCCGTTCACCAGCCACTTCCTTACCTCAGCTGGCCTGTCACAACCTCTCTGCTGCACTGTTTGGAAGAGCTGATAAAAGGAGACTGGAGAGCTATATTCAGAGGGGAGATGCACACATGCAGAACCTGATCCCTGTGAGTCTCTGTCCTTATTGCTTTCCTGTCCTTCAGCTCATTGCATAACACCTAGCATTAGGTTTGCCAGGGAAGGGACTAAGTTGCTAAGTTCATGAGCTAAGCAAGAATATTTCATAGGATCATAAGAAAGTAGGGCTGGAAGGGACCTCAAAGTTGTATATTGTAAACACCCTGCTCAAGGAAGGACCATCCCTGACTAAATTATCTTAGTCAAGTGTCTGTCCAACCTTCTCTTGAAAATTTCCAAGGAAGGAGATTCCACATCATCTCTAGGTAGCCTATTCAAATGTTTAAACACCCTCAGAGTCAGGAAGTTCTTCCATATCGCCAATCTAATATTCCTCTGTTGCAGCTTAGGACTATTGTTCCCAGTCATGTCCCTTACAGCCCCAGAGAAAAACCCATCCCCAGCTTCTCTATAATCACCCTTCAGGTATTTGCAGACGGTATTAAATCACCCCAGTCTTCTCTTCTCCAAGCTAAAATAACCCTAGTTGTTTTAGCTTTCCCTTGTAAGTCATGCTTTCCAGACCCCTAATCATCACTGCTGTTCTCCACTGGAATTTTTCCAATCTGTTCACGTCTTTCTTGAAATATCTGGGCCCAAAATCGAACACGGTACTTCAGGTAAGGCCTCACAAGTCAGGAACAGAATGAAAGAATAACTTCCCTTGTTTTGCACATTACATTCCTCTTAATACAGCTCATTATGCTATTAACCTTTTTTAAAGCTAGAGCAAAACATTGGTTTGTATTCAGCTTATGGTCTACCGTAGCATAAATGGAATGACTCTTATCAAACTGTTAAGCCCTCCCACCCCTTCCCCGCCCTGACAGGTGCACGGCTCCCTGGCTGCAGAGGCACTGGTGAGTGGCTTGAACTGTGGGTGTGGGGCCCTTAAGAGAGTTGGTGGTAGGGTTTTGGCAGGCACCCTGGGAGGGCAGAAATTAGTTATGAACGCCTTAAATAGTGGCTAATTAGCCTTTTTCCTTTGAAATGCCTCTGTAGCTACATGAAGCCTTTCTAATGACACCAGAAGGACAGCACATCAACAGACCTGTAACCCCAATATTGGAAAAGATAAACTGTTTTAGTGACAGAGTGTTTCAGGAAAAGGTAATGATTCTTTGGTTTTTAGAAGACAGCTAGGAATTGAACAAGTAAGTCCCATCACATATGAGGAATGCAAAAGCCTCATAAAACCTCTCATCTGTGTTTGTTGTTGTGGCATACTGAAATATTGCTTGAGAAAGCCCATGCAGTCTTCAAATGGTCCCCGTCTCCTAGCTGCACCAAGACAAGGAAGCCAGGAGTGGGTGAACTGGACAGATGAGGGTATAAACCGGACAGTTTGGGGACCTTGTACTGAGCTGTGTGTGGAAAGTGTTGTACCAGCTATTATTACGTTGGGGTACTCTATGGATCATCTGCACCTCACTGAGAAACATTTGGATCAGGGTGTAGAGATTATAAACCATTCATTTTTCTGAAGACCCAAATTCTGCTTTGTATGGAGTGATCCATGAAGAGGAAAAGCCTCTGGTACCCTACACTGAAAGCTTGATTGGGACAAGAAATTATAA